GATCTGTAGATTGATACAATGTCAATTTCCTGATTGTGCTATCATATTACAGTTTGCCAGGATATTACTTGGGAAAAACTGAATAAAGGATATATAGGATCTCTGTATGATTTCTTACAACTGCATATAAATCTATAATATTTCCCAAAAAAGTTAATTAAAAAGCGCTGGGTGAACACTGTGAGAGAATAAAAAGTTTTCACATAGTCTCAAAGTATCACTTTACATAGTACTTATTAACTTTAAAGTAAAAAAAAAAAAAACACGAGAAATTTAGTAGATATCACCTTTCAAGTGATATAACTTAGTCATCAAGAATGAGATAAACAGACTCTTCTGCCGTGACACAATAGGAAGCACACCTCACCTAAGTAGGGGCATTCTTGCTAAAAATGTTTCACCTGAACCTAACTGGGTAAGTAAACCATTAGACAAATCCAGACTGTGAGTCGCTCTATGAGAAAACTGCACTGAACTCAATACAAATATTAATTTCACAGAAGGAGAGAAAAAGACAAGGGGACTAATATAACTAGATTTAAAAAAAAATGCTGTGAGGATATTGGGGGTGGGAGGAGAAAGTAAAAGTAACTGAAAAGAATCAATTCTCAGTGTATATAGTCCAGGATAGATATCTTAGTCCCCTAGCATGGCAGGCTGAGTTCATGGGGACTGAACTCTTCTGCAAACACTGAGATCTTAGATTTTTAAGAGATTAGAAAAATTGAGATAGGTTAAATAGTTAAGATTGAACAAAAAGGTAAGGTAATCTGTAAGTATTAGAACAAAAGAAAACAAATACCAGAAGAATAGGGAGATAAATTGATAATACATAAATCCAAAGTGATATAGAATTTAAACACAGCATTAATGCCTAGAGACTGGAGATTTCATGTGTTTTGGGTACAGGTAACTTAGTTTGGGGCCCAGGAAAGGAAGGTAACTGGAGCTGCAACCACTTCATAAAGGAAAACACTTGAAGAGTTGACCCCTTAGTTTAGAAAGGACTAGAAGCCTGACCTAGAAGTAGCAAGAAAGACTGTCTCTTCCTGGGGCTCTAGATAGAAGGATAAAATCATTCCTTAAATTAAATCCCCAAATGGACACAAGACACACACCCACACGGTTTGAATTCACATCACCTGCATGATACAGAAATCTCAAGCCAATAAATTAATGTGAAAGCTAACCATATGTATGTTAACTAAACCTAATGTGATCACAATACATACAAATATCAAATCATTATGTTGTACACCTGAAAGTATGTGTCAGTTATAACTCAATTTTTAAAAATTTATTTTAAAAGCTTATCATAGACCAGCAAAACCATTAGGATATTCTACGGAAGCAAAAATAAAAATAAAAAATAAAAAAATCACTCCACAAGGAAACTTTCAAAAAATAGGGAAAATATGACTACCACAGAGAAAAAGCAAAAGCACAAACCTGGCTGAAGATGAGCTGATAATCCAAATAATAAAACACATGAGGAAATGATCCACTTGGAAATGGATATGCAGTTGTGGAAGAGCCAGCAGACCCAAACACTGAGATGAGTAACTCACAGAAGAATTTAAGTAAAAAAACAAATAAATAAATATAGTTTAGTTATACCGAAACTATAAAATAAATTCAGGTATAATTATTAAAGAAATACAGTAAGAACAGAATCCATAATAAAAGACAGAACACCTAAAGAAAAAATATAGGCAGCTATGTATGAAAAGACATCAAATAGCACTTCTAAAAATGAAAACGTAAATCATAGTTCAATGGAAAATTTAAACAATAGGACATCAATGAAGTAATAATTAGATGGAAAATAGGCCTGAATAATTACCTAAATTCTACTATAAATATTTTTTCTAATATTTTAAAGGAACCCATTTGTCCTGTGATCAATAACATTCCCACACCTTCTCCAAACTCTATTACTCAAGTTTTCTTGGAAAGAGCAATGAAATTTTGTCCTATAATAATAAAAGATAAATCCAAATTACTAACCCTCAAATCTTTCTGACTTAAACCACAACATGTACTTCTCACTCAGTAATCAAAGTAAGCCAAATAAGATATTAAGAACAACCTGGGACTATTAAGAACAACCTGGGACTCTTTCTTCACAATTTTAAATCTTCAGTTGGTAAACCAAAATGAAAATGTCATTTTTGTGTCTAATATTTTTATCAAACATGAATCCTTACTTGTGCATACCATTATTATTAAATACCTGTCTCTGGGTAGGCAAAGGGCTTCAAAATCAGAAAATATATGATTGATTTCTTACTCCTTAAGTAAAAGCTCTGTTTAAAAGAAACAAGCATGCCCAAGTGGGTACCCTCTAGAGAAATTCAAAATAATTCATCTTTGCAAAATATGTTAAGTTAGGAATAAACTAAAATGCAAATCAGCTGAGGAAAAAATACAAGAGACACATTGTAAAAACATTTAGCTCACAGTTTTAATAAGAAAGACAGAGGTGAACCGAAGTAGGTTTACAGTTGTAATATAAATAAGTAATACAATAATTCATAAATACTAATACAATCATAAACTCTGTTTCACATACTCACAACTTCTGCCTACCCCTGCATAATGAGATGATGAAGACATAATAAATAGCCTCAATGTATTAATTGTGCCATCTCAACAATTCCAGTCTATTAAACAATGTTATTTTTGTAATTAGCATTCTGTCATTTAAAAGGAAAACTAATAGAAACAGCCAGCAAATATATTATCAGTCAAGTCCTACCAGTACTGATTTGAAGAGTTGAATAGACCACTGCTACACTGAAAACACATGTTGACATTAAGCAGATTCTCTCTTGGGATATAAGAAGATAAATGAGGTACCCTCAGAGGGAAGTGCAGCTGAATTTCTTTTTACCTGAAGTTAAATCATTTGCCTTATCCACCTTCTTGTTATTTATGTACAGATAAATTCCAGATTCCCCTCTTACACGTTGGACATAAGCAAAATCATTTTTGAAGTCCTCAAATTGTTTTTGTCATAATGACCAATTTTTGGTAAAAGGAAAGAGGGGAACGTGTATGATCCACTAAAAAAACAGCATCTGTATTTTTAAAGTGCCTTTTATTTTTGCAGTGTAGCCCTGGGCTTTCAAGTAGCTGGTAACCTCTGAATTTAAAAGATGGATGTGATTCAAAAAACGGTTATATTGCATACAGATCTAACGCACAGAGTGCATAGATTTACCATTTCTGTTTAGCGGCATCATATACATGTGATGTAAACAACATACGTGTAATGTAAATTTAGGTGAGAGTCTCAAAGTATTTCAAATTACCACAGGCTTGCATGTACATGCAGTATTATATATTATATATACTATAGCTTATTATATATTATATACTATATTATATCTTATATATAGTATATATACATGAATAGTACTCTACAGTAGTGTTTATTATATATACTATTATATAGTGCATGTATATTATACTATATATAACACATTATATTATTTATATATGTATATTTGTCGTTAAAATTAACCACACTGCTATTTCTCTGTTCTCTTCATACTTGTGTTAAAGCTATTGACTCCGGTGGTTTTGGATCTTGTTTGAAGTATGGCACATGGAGAAACGAACTGTGAAAAAGGGAAGGAAGCAAGCAAAACAGGAAGATGGAAGAGGAGGGAAGGCAGGAAAGAAAAGGGGAAACCCCTGTATGCGCGTGTGCGGACACACACACACACACACACACACACACACGGACACACACACACACACACACACACACACACACACACACTTCTAGTTGAGAAAGGGCCAAGCCCTGAACATGCTCCAGCATCCCTCCTCAAACATGAGACCGAGCTTCCCCAAAAGTTCCTTGGCAGAACCTTCGTTATGTCGCGGCTCGGGTGCGCTCCTTTGGAGCCGCAGTAACCGGGCATGCAGGACCATCCTGGGGCCGAAGCCCCGCAAACTCTTGGGTACTCCAGGCTCCCTCGCACACCCGCTGCCCGCAGTCAATCACTGGGCAGAGCACTCCAATTCATCACCCACTCCTGGACGAACCCCTCTGCCTTTCTCCATTCTATCTTGGCTCCTTCTCCTTCCCAGGGACTTACCAAGAGGTCCAAGGGCGGAGGCAGGCGCAGAGAACGAGGAGCGGAAGAGAAAGGGCCAGTTGGTGGATTTATTGATATGACAAGGGGCAACCGCCACACGGTTAAAACGACGGTCCGTGCCTGGCCCCATCCTCCCTTCGATCCCCATCAGCTCCACGCACCCGATACTCTCCATTTCGGCCGGGATGTACGATGAAGTGAAGGAAGAAATAAACCCGCAGCCTCCTGGGCAGCCCTTACCTCAGGCTACCCTCTCGGAAGCCTCCCTCCTGCCGTTCCAGGCGCCGCTGGTGCACCGCCTTGGCCACCGCTCTCTGGGTGCCCGGGCTCCGGCCACGGCTCTGTCCAGCGCAGCTCTTCCGCGCAAGGAGATGAGCCTTCCCTACTCCCAGGGGCACCAGAGCCAGTTAAAAGGACGGTCGCGCGCCTCCCAAGTGGAGCCCGGGGGGCGAGAGGGAGCCCGCAGCCGCCGAGGCGAGGCCGAGAGACCAGGAAAAGGGCGCACGATCCGGGGGTGGCTGCGGAGTGGGGGCGCGGACCCACCAGCGTCCAGGATCCCGGCCTGGGCAGTACGGGCAGCCGCTATGCGCTCCTGAGCTCCTGTCTTCTCCACTGTCCCCCAACCGCCTCTCTGTACCCCCCCCTCCCTTCTCCCCGTCCTCCCCCCTCTCCAAAAGACAGCTTGCCGGTGGCACTTGGGCTGCCGTTCTGCACACTTCAGCCCGGTGCAGGGAATAACAATGTGATCATATTGAACGGACTGGATGATGTGTAGTAGATTGTAACTGCTGAGGCCACCACCTGTCAATTATAAGGAACAAGACACACCATCCCCAGCCGGCTGGCCTTCTCCCTGAGTACCCACCTCCCTTATTTTCCTCCCCCACCTACCTCGGAGACCTTCCGCAGCACTCAGCCGGCACGACACCAAGGGAGTTTTGCAAAATAACCTTCACTCTCAACCGGGAGCTCACGGCTTCTCCTTTCCCACCAGAGCTGAAGGATTACGCACAGCTCTGCGTACCTATCCAAAGCCGGATACTGAAAATCCTGGTTGGAACCCCAAACTCGTCGCCCCCCGCCCCCATTCATAACCCCAGAGGCAGTCTGCCACTACACCCCCACCCCCTGCCGCCTGCGCCTGCTGCGATTCGCCCTCCGTCCGTGGAACGTGTCAGTCACTGGCTCTTCATCTCCCATAAATACAGTACTAGAAGCTCGGCAGACACGGGTTGCACAAAGGAGGGTGAGGAGGGGGGCACTTGGAGCCTGGGGTAGAGGGAGGTGAAGGAGGGAGCGGGGCAAATTTTGTGGAAGGAGCTAGTGTGAGCCTGTGAGCCCACTGCTCTCCTGTTGCACAAAGGAGCTCCAGAGGGTATAAGCGCGGTGCTACTGAACCCACGGGGTCAGATCACCTCCGTGGAGGTGCTCCACCAAGACGCACTGGGAGTGGGTCTCACAACTTGGGAATCTGCGTGACGTGATGGAGCAACAGGCACCCGGGAGCCTTACTGCCCAGTTTAAAAGAAGGCAGGGGATGGAGGCTTGCTATTGGGATGTGGCGGGAGGGGGGGAGGGCGTAAAAAGGTTTCCTTTTCCCAGTTGTTCAGCCCTTTTCAGTCAGAGAAAAAGAAAAGAAAGCTGGCAAGAGAACAGAGAAAGGTAGAGATGCAGTGACTGTTTATACAACTATCCAGAGACCAGAAATGGGTAAAACTGGCCTATTTTTTCAATTTACTCCAGTAAATTATGGCACGCCCATTTTGCACTAAGCACAATACACTGTGCTAGATGCTGGGGCACAGTCCCTGCGCCCAAGGAGCTCACAGCCTAGTGGGAGAAGCAACTATGAAAAGACCAAAAGGGATAATACAACTATTACACAACAGAAGCACATACCAATTACATTAGTTGAAGGGGAATTTTCTCTAGTTGAAGGGGAAATGGGTCAGGAAATTAGATCCCTTCTGAACTGTGTATCAAAAGGTAGTTGGAGTTTGCCAAAGAAGTGGCAATAACCTTCTATTACTCACCCATTAACCCAGACCACCTTTACCTACGCACACTATGAACGTCACACCAGAGAGCTTACCAATTTAAGGACTTCTTGGACTCCTGCCCTGCTCTGTTTCCCGCTTGTGGTTTTGGAGGAAGCATTTTCAACACCAGCCCTTGGAGTGTAGAGCACCCAGTTCTCCCCAGCTGAGATGCTGTCTTCTTGGACCTGTTGCTCCTAGTACCATCCACCTTTGAAAAGGAGCCCAAAACCAGAATTAATAATACTGAGGCAGTGAACATCTGGAAGGAAGCAAATAAATCCTGAATGCAGTCATGATTCTTACACACACTCTGTCTGTAAAATAATGACAATATAATCTCTTTTTCCTGAACTACAGTGAGGATTAATTAGTCAGACTTTTTAAATATAAAGAGAACATTGCCCAAATAGAGTGTGGGATGGGAATCTAAATTGTGATTCAATCTAAGAAAAAAAGAACCACTTTGAGTGGCATGCTCCCCTCTCGGAATATTAGAACTCTGAAAGATAGTAATAATTACTAAAGCATCCAAGGTTATTACATCATCTTCAGGGAAAAAAATATGTCCAAAGTGTTCTTATTGCAATAGATAGATAAATAAATAAATAAATAAATAAATAAAGGGATACCAGTATAAAGATAACGTCACCTATTTAAACACCTTTCCCACTTCTCCCTAGAAATTTTATAAATGAACAAAGAGAATGGAAAAAATGTCAAATACCACTTTCAGCAAGCTTATACAGATTTTATGCACAAACTCTGAAGAATTTATAAAGGTTGCTAAAAGCAGCTGAACTTGGGCAGAAGTCATATGGAAAAGGCCCGTGGAGGAAAGTCAAAGGGAACCAGCAGTAAGGACATCAGAAAGTACCAGCTAAAATGTGTTTCCTGGAAGTGACAGCTTACCATAATTTTTCTCACTAGAGAAAAATTAAATTAAATGTACTTTCTTAGCAGAGCAAAATACAAAAGCAGCTATGTCTCTCAATAAAGGTAGCGGGATCAGAAAAGGCACACAGAGATAGGGAGAAAAGGCTCAATTTCCAGGGAAGCCAGTAGCAGCAGGTCAGCAAAACTATAATCCTTGAAGATGAAGTGATTACCATGATGTGTAGAAACCTGCCTTCTTGTTTGTAAGAACTGGAGAGCACAGAGCTGATGGCAGATGATCTCCTGAGCCAGATTTACTTCAGAGACTCAGAGGGAGTCTACAGAAAAACCATAATTACTGGAAGAAGTCTGTTTTGGAGGCAGCAAAAAAAGGGCATCTGTAATCGATTGCTGCCTGGCAAACCACCCAAAATAATGGTTTAAGAAGCTACCAATTACTTCCCTACAATTCAATGAAGTGACAAATTGGGATGGGCCCAACTGAGATTCCTTATCTCTGCTCCATGTGATGTCAGCAAGTCTCATTCATGTATTTGGATGGCACAAACACCTGAGGCCTCTTTTCAGGAGGCTGTTAGGCTTTCGCACATGGAGGGAGAAGAATTCCCAGCAGCAAGAGAGAAGGCAGGCCCCAATGTTCAAACTCTTTTCAAGCCTCTCCATGTAACTTTGCTAGTATCCCATTGGCTAAAGCAAGTTCACAGCTAAGTCTAGAGTCAATGTGGGAGGGGCTACACAAGAAAGAATATGGGGAGTTTTCAGTTTTGGAGAGTCATTCACATAAAAGCTACCACACAAACTAAGCTTTTTACTGAGAAAACAGGAAAGTTATCTTGAACCCTCTGTTTAAGGAACTTTCTACAAAGACTGACCAGAAGAACATAATTTGTTCAGTAGTGAGTAGTGACAAAAAAGAATCTGTCACAAAAAATATACAAGAAACTATAAGAAAAATCCTGAAAAGGAGCATTAAAATGTACAATAGATGACGTAGGGGGCAAGTTGCTGCAAAAGCAATGGAAATTGACACGTATTTTCCAGCAAATACAGAAATCCAATAAAAATAGAGAAGACTTGCATTGCATTTGCTGTTGCCAGGCAGTATTCTAACCACTTTAAAAATATGGACTTAATAGAGCCTTATTAAACATGTGTAATAGTGCAAAGATGAACACTAAGAAATTTAAGATTTTAAACAAAATATGATATTAGATAAAATGCAGAGTAGGGAAAAGAATAGGGTGCATGCCAATTTATTATTGCTCGTAACTAATTATTATGTCTTAAATAACAGAAGACTACAAATACAATATTTACTTATAAAGGTAGCCACTAGAAAGCAAATATACCCCTTAATGCCCACCTTTCTAAATATCAGAGAAACCATCAATACACACAGAGTACACACAAACACACACAAATATGTATCCAAGAATTGAAATAAATGCATATTTTAAGTTATTTTTTAAAAGGATCTTCAGGTTGAGTTAAAAGCAAAACTTAATACAAGATACATTTCTTAAAAGATTTGGGATGGTTGGAAACAAAAGGAAAATAAAGGTTTCACCCAGATGATGTCCCATCCCTTCCCTCATACAAAAAGTAATAATAATTAAAAAGTGGAAGTTTAACCTTGACATCAAGCAAATTAGATTTAGGACAAATAACTATTTTGTGCAACAAAGGATGACACTTTACAGTACAATAAGTAAAATTCACAATGAAGATGTAAAAGTTATGAATATTTATGAACTAAATGCATCATAGCAGCAACTTACATAAGCAGACATTACAGGAGATAGAAAGACATAGATAGAAGGAGACCAAAAATAGAAGAATTTTACTCATCTCTCTTCGTCTTACTCTGGAGATATCAGACTCTAAGTCTCAAAATTAGAAATTAGATGTTCTCTTTAAAGGCTAATATTTTAGTCATGAAAAAATGGCCATATATTAAACAATAAAGAAAACTTTAATAAAATATAAAGAAGAGTCGTGAACAAGATTCTATAATCACAATACAATAAAGCTAGAAATTAATAGAAAAGTTAGAACAAAAATTTCTCCACCAGGAAAATTATAAACAAAAAATTCTCAGATAACTTGTGAAAAAAAATTGTATGATTTCTACAATATATTGATAAATAAAAATACTGCTTAGAATTTTGTGACACAGCATTAGCTTAATTAATTAAATAAGCACCAAAGGCAGAAAAACACATAAGTAAACAGAAGGAAAACAGAAGAAAAAAAGTAATTTAGAAGAAGAAATTAAGGAGCTGGGAAAGAAAAGTGATTAGAATTAATTAATAATTCTAAAAACTCTGATGTTTGAAATTATAAAAATAAATATCTATTATAATTAAGTTAATTAAGAGAAAAATATAAATACAAAAAATAAGAAATGATAGAAACAGTGAATGTTAATATAATCCTAAAAACTACTTTAATCTATTATAAAGTCTCTATCATTTTTCATTTTGTTCCCCTAAGAAGGACATTTAATTTCTCCCTAGTAAGAAAAATTAAATTCTAAGTAATAAGATTTTATCAAGAGGATGGAGACTTGGTGGGCCACAGACCATTGTAATACAAAAGATGTATTGATTTCCCCCCACTGAGAATGTGGGCTCTACTGGAGGAAAATACATTTGAAAACCTGGGCAAAAGAAATACTTTCAGTAGATAATATGATTTGCCATAACTGTCCCTTCAGGACATAGAAAATTCAAAGAAATAGTAAATATATCAATTTAGCAACAAATTAGCAAGCCAATGATTTTTCCCAGGGGAATTTTATCAAACTTTTAAAGGGCAGATAATTCTTGCCCTGGCTGGGTAGATCACTTGGTTAGATCACTTGGAGGGTCAATTGGTTGGCACTTTCTCCTCACTCCCTTCCTCTCTCTCTAAAATGAATAAACATGTCCTCAGATGAGGATTAAAATTTTTTTAAAGAGTAGATAATTCTTACGATATCTAAACTACTAAAAGGCATAAAAAGAATGAATATTTCCAATTAAATAGTGTAAAGCAAGTGGCATTGAAACCAAGACCTAACAAAATTGGCACATA